AAAAGATATTTGTTTTAACAGGCTGTTGAAATGGGGGTTTGTTGGAGAACATTAGAAAATAACATTTTTAACTGCTTTGAGGAGATTATGTGCCTAGCCTTGGGCCATATTTGTGTAATAGCCACTTCATGGCTATAAAAAATTAGCAGAGAACACAGGGAAATCATGTTCCTAAGCACAAGGAACACAAAGTCCCCCAAATTGACCCCTCCTGGTTCACCAAGCACACATAGCAGGAGGGAAGAGACTGCACACATTCACCTCATGTCTGTCCACAGTGAAGGCTGAATTATCCAATCAGATATGAGATAGTGCAGTACCCCACTAATAATAAATCAGAAGCACTACGTAGGGACAGGAGAGAAATTGGTGGAGAAGAAAATAACCAAAACTAAATGGAAAATTACAGTGATTTAGGAAGGAAACTTTTGAGTGCTCCAGAACTGTTTCACACAATGTAAGTTTGCCATTTGATAAGCTCAGTGCCTTGGCATGTAAAGTCAACAAGAAAAAATGAGAAGGAATTCCTATTATTAGTGCTTAATCTACTCCTCCAGAGTGCATCAAAGAGTATATTTCATAGCTGTAACAAGATAAAAGCAGACTTCTTAGACCTCTCATCATGACCAGTAGCTGGAACTGTATGCTGCTGTTCAGATAATTGCAATTAAACCAGTCACTCTTAGTATTTGAATCTTCACCTGAATGTTTCGGAAGTCAGACAGAACTCAGGTTTAGAGTAGCTGAAAGCATTGTGACAAACCATAAGTTAATCTTAGAAAAGTAACAGACAATCTGTGGACATTTTACTGTAAATTTTTGTCTATAGTCAGTAGTATGAGTCTTAAGGCAACTGGGTAATATTTCCTGCATGAGTCACAATGCCGTTAAGATTGAAGCCCTAATTAACTTCTTATTAAAGTTTATTCTTGGGCAATATCAATTTTTTGTGGACCTTTTGTGGGGCATCTATTACAAAGAGTAGCTACAATATTTAAAACACCTTTGGCCTAAAAACTGAGATAAAGTTCTACCAGGTGACAGATTCTGCAGTCAAAACTGATCATCTAACCAACTTAATTATACAAAACTTTGATCTTTCAACTCTTCCACTAGAAAAAAACTCTTTTTAGAGCAAGACAGGACTATTCACTGTAGGTCAGATATTATTTGTGAAGACAGTTTCACAGAAGACAACGAGACTGCTCAGACCACCTGATCCTACTTCAAATTGACATAAAAAAGGAGCAACAATGTTAGTGCACTCCCTGAAGCTTGATACCACTCCACAGTCCTGCTCTGTGCCTCTCGGCCAGAGGAAGAAGGAGAAATGTCTTCTGTGACTCCATATTAAGGGCAGAAGCACTTGCAAGAAGCAAACATGAAGGCAGACAGTTTAACTGACATCCCTAAGCAGATAAAGATTAGTTAAGCAAAGCATCAGCAGTAAAAAAAGTGCTAAAACAACACCCAGTACAGCAGCAGGCTGAGGTTTAGGCACAGGTGTCTAATCTTCAAGTTTGTACACCTTCCTCACTTGTTCTTACAGAAAATATATTTTAGGTCTATCCTCTAGCTAATAATTTTAAAGTTATAGTCAACAACAGCCAGGTCAGTTAACTAACAAAACACTTTCTCCAGAAGTTTAAACAAGAATAACTTAGGGTTGGGAATGAACAATGAGAGAAAAACAGGTAACACTTTAATATAATTGACTGATAAATATTTTAAATTAGTGAAAATTACACTGAACTTTTGAAAATTTTAGTACATGTATCCCAAAATAAACAAATGGAACAGCCATTTAATTGAAAATAAAATTAAAGAGAAATAATTCCCTTTTCCTCAAAGCACAAGATCCTATTGTTAGTATTGTTAGCAAGTTATTTGGAGTCATTATCTTGAGAAAAAGCAGAGATGAAAAGGCTTTTTTTCTTTATTACAAACCACTTGTACTTTATCACATCCATGTAACACATTAGGTGTGTCACTATTTATCTTGTACTACAATAAACAAGCTCCATATATTTTCAGGCTTCAGTGAGTTTTGCTGGCATACTGTATCAAGAACATATTTCAGAAAAATCATTCTGGCTTTGCTGCATTTCTAAAATGCTCATGACTCATTCTTTAATGCTCACTGTTAAGCTGGGTTTCATGGGTGCTTGGAATATTTTGAGGGCAAATCCTGCTAAGTGCAGACTAACCACAAAGTAAGGGTAGAGAAACACAAATCAGATGAAAACAAATAAAGCTGGATAAAAAAATTGCTGTCTGTACAACTGCAGTAGTAGTCAGCTTTTACTGCTTTTTGCCATTCTTTTGCAAATTAAGATGTGTTAGTGCAAACTCGCACTGAAGTATTCTCCCTCTTAACTGCAGAAGGCTAAATGCACACATGCAAACAGGCAGTGCAAGTTTGGTCCCAGGGAGGCAAAATCTCAAAACTTTTCTCACTCCATTATGATCAATTTTATGCCGGCAGCCAAGGGCGATGTTTTCCAACCTCTTTCCAGCTCCTTTCCAAATCATACCCTTCCATGTTGTTCTCAGATCTCCCCTACCCTCAGCCACTCTCATAGGATTATTTGCATTATTGGGTTCCAACTCTCTCTGCAGAAGTAATATAAACGTTTTTTTGCACTTCTTTTTCATTGCTTTCCTTTCTCAGCAGATAGAGGCCTGTTATCATTTTGGGGAATACTTTGGGGTTTTCTACATCACGTAGCAAACCCTACTGCAGAGACCTTGTGCTCATACCAAGTGAACTAACCCTGAGATTGGTGCACTATTTCAACACATAATGATGCTACGAGGCACTTAACCTTGCTGAAAACACAGAGTTTGTGATAATCTATCTGTTTGCAAATAGGCTGTCCACATGTTATGTTACTTTGGCAATACAATGATTAACTAAAACATATATATGTTCTAGCTTTCTATAACCTCCTACAGCTATGGACAGGGCTGACAAGATACGTTGGTGGTCTAAAGAAAATGTTATGATATCTAAATGCAAAACTTCTAGAGAAATTTATTCTGTATTTTTAAAAATTAATAGAGAGCTAACCAGCTCATGAAGAGTAGAAACTTAGCTGGAAAGTCAGAGCAAATAATTTTACCCCTACAGTCTTTCAAGAGGCATCATGAGGAGTGCAACATATTTTGTCTCTGAAGGAAGAGGCTAAACACAAGTGTTCCCTTTACAGTGATCAATTCCTATGAATGAGTTGGTAGATTGTCTGTAGGATTACTCTGTAGCACTTAAACTGGAGGAACAAGAGAGGAACTGCTAATAGTCTCAAAAGTAGTAAAGGAACACAAACACTACCTGTATGCATAATAAGTGTGCAGTTTACAGGACTCTAAGTTGTAGGACTGATGAAATTCCAGATATAAACACAGGTGTAATCTGGGTGGGTCTAAGCCTTCCAAGGGAGAACACAAATATAGGAGCTTACTTTGCCCCTTTGCCCCTTATAGGGGCATCCTTGCCCCTCTGTTTACTGGCCATAATCAACATCTGTTACAGAACATATCAAAAGAAAAAACAGTGTCTTGTCCCAGATATTGTCTCACAAGCCACTATTATGCCTTTGGTTTTTTTTAGGGCTGGTTTCCAGGTGGCTTTACTCTACTGGAGGCTGTGCCAAATGACCCTTTTCTTGTCTGTTTGTCAGGCAGCCAGTATCTGAATTCAGTATTTCCTGAAGAACTATGCTTTGGGACTTATCAACAAGTCTGCAGGTGCTGCTTTTGATCAAGAAATAGGTTTGGACAGATGAGGTTCACAGACCGTTGTCCTTGCTTTCCATTGCTTATCAACCAAATTTAAGCATAACTCTCTGCAATAATACAAATGTTCCCTTGTTAAATGAAAGCAGAGGGCAGGGAGAACTGTGCATATTATCCAGACAGCGAATCCTGAGGTACCAGCACAGAGCTCTGTGATGCTCTGCTATCTGGCTTTTAAAGGCAAGGCCTGGGAGGCAACCCCAAATTCACACAGCCCAGGCTTCATGTCAACTTCATTATTGTTTCCTCTTTAGCCAGATGCTTCTGAAGATCCAGATCCAGACCATGGGGAACATAAGCCATGGAACACAGAGGGGCAATATCAGCATTATTTCCAGCCTTGGACGGTACTGTAATCACTTTTTTCTCAATGCATTTTAGACCAGTGATTCACCTTACAAGATATTTCTTTACTGCTTGTACACAGAATTCCTTTTCTTTCACTGCCAACTGAGATGTGCACAAGTTCAGTAATTTTGGCTGGTCTTTTGCACATATGAGACACTTCTCATTAAATGATCTGAGAGGCACCTTTAATCTCTGAGCCCAAAATAAAAAAATTAAAGAAAACCAGACATTAGGATATCATGTTTGTGTAATTCACATGTTGTTTTGGAGTAATGTAAAGTAAATAACAGTGTCAAAACTCAGTATCAATTTCTACAAATGTTGTAAGAATCACTGATTGCTGATTTCATTATCTCGTTTTCCTGGGCTTCGAGCTGCATTGGATTCTATTGAATATCACTAAATATTACTGCTCATAACACAGCAGGCCCTTTTGAACTGGACATGGATCAGCTGCATCACAAGGGTGAATGTGGCTACTTTTATTAGTCTTTTAACATGGTATGCAACAGCTTCTCTTGGAAAACTACTCTGAAAACTACTGAGATAAGCTGTGTGTGGTCCAAAAATACCACTGAAACCCTGGAGATTAATTGTATGTTCAGGTTATGAGGGTTTAACCTTTAGATGCTGATATTTAAAAATCCTAGAAAAAAATTATTCAAAGGCATGAATGGTTAATAGTCCTGAGACAAGACTGGAGAAAGGATTCAAAGTTCTCAGGAATGCAGATCTGAGAGTGGCTGAGGTCATGTTGTAATCATAGAATACATAAAATATTGGTGAAATCACTAAAAAAAACCCCAAATTGCTACACTTAAAAGACTTCTGACTATTGTTACAGGCATGAGACATACCATCTTGTACATGCTGCTCAACATGATCAGCACACCTCTTCAGAAGCTCTGAAAATCAGTTCCCTCCAGTGGTCCTGAAGTTTCATGTGGTTTTCTCAGTACTTGTCTGGTGATTCTAAAGAAAATGTTAAAGAATTGTATCATATTTCTGTTTCAAACATGTCATATGAGTACTTAAACTACCTGAATAAATACAGTAAAATTTGAAACATTTAAAATAAAGAAATGGGTGAAACTTCCATTCTGTAAGTCACCCGACTAACCATTCCAGGAAATGCCATTTAGGAGATGTTTTTGACTGCTACTGAGTATTTTTTGCTAGACATGTCTGAGGCAAGACTGATTGGTTTTTTATTTTAGTCTATATTCTAGGTAAAAGCTACATTTGAAATATTATGCTCATCATTGTGCCTTAATTGATTAGTGCCTTATTTAGTGTGTGTTACACTAAATATTATCCAAGCAATAAAAAAACAATCAAGAGGCAGAGACCTGATAAGAAATTAGGAGAAAGAGAAGGCCATTTTTACAGATCATACTACACATTGTAGTGTTAAAACTTTGACAACCAGGACTTGATCAAATAAAAAATATAGCTGCAAAATAGAATGGTTGGGGTGGAAGGGAGATGAACACAGCTCAGAGCATAGCCCATCTATAGCAAATGCCAAACAACCTTGCAGAACAAACCCCTGGTTAAGTTTAATAACACAGAATTGTGGTTGCAATCAAATTTTAAAGTGAGCAGCTCAAGCTGCTACGAGAGAGAGGGTAGAAGACCATTTAACAGCTTTTCCTAGTTCTTAAAAGACAGCAAAGAAGCACCATTGAAAGGGCTTGATAAGGAGAATTAAATAATCTGCTATAACAAACAATAAGGATATGGAAATTTAGGCAATTAAGAGTCCCATCATCTGCCAGGAGGAGGTGCAGAGGTAGTGAGAGCACTGCTATGTCCATAATGCCTGCATCACCTAAGGGGTTTCTGAGGAATGTGAGATATGATCCCATATGCTGCTCCCAGCAGATTGTATATGAGGCATACAGCTACCAGTCCTTCAAATGCCTATTTTCCTGAGATGTTGTTGATCCCAGAACTTTTGTTTAATTTTCTACCTTGCCACAGCTAGGCAGGGTGTTGACATAGCACTCAGCTATGATATTATCTATTACTAGAAAAACAACATATTGGTGGAATGAAATTTTTCATCTTTGACTTGTGAAGGATACATTTCAAAGTTTAAGCCAGATGAAAAAAATTATTGAAAACTGTGCCAAGCAGTTAAACTACTCAGAATTTAATTAGAAAGACACTGAGCTTTTTGATATGTAGAAGCTTTTAAATTTTTCATTCTGATTTAAAACAGGACAGATTAAAAAAACATTTAATGGAGGAAAATTTTTTCTTGAGTGTTGCAAGAAAGACCTAGAGACAGAAATAATGTTGGAACTATTACTGCTAAAGAGTGGACTGAGGCTTTTGACAACAGGTAGATGTACTTCACATGGGTGTCATCTTTATCTATTGATATACTTATATTTACACATTCATAGAGGTATTTAATATATGATATTTGCATAATATTTTAAATGTAATTTCTATTAAATTGTCAAATTATTCTATTAAGTCCAAGTAATAGTTGTATATAAAGAAACATATGTGCTTCAGGTATATAATTTTGTTTGTTGCTTTCACTGTTGTTGGTGTCCTGCCAAGCCCCCAACACTGTCCACCATGCCTGCAGCAGAAAATCAGGTAGGATCAAGGAAAGAGCTGCTGGGCTGACTTTGGGCTGCTGTTTGACAATATTAGTAGCTGGATCAGTGACATGGCTTTGGTAAGTAGAAGTTATCAACAGGCTGATGTTCTGCCTGTTGTGGCAAGAGGCCTGTTGTCACATACACTGCAGGCGTTGCAAATTTTAATTTGTCTCAACCTCCATTCTCAACCTCCCACCTCAACCTCCCTCTATTCCTACACTTGGCCATAGAAAGGAGCCATGATGCCTAAGAAGACAAGCACAAATGATCAGGATGTAACTAAATGAGGTTGGTTGCTCCAGGTGTATCAAAAGACTGTCTTGTATGGAGCATGATGGAGCACCATACCGGGCACAGCCTGCATGGGCTGCTTTTGCAGGTGTTGTTACAAGTGTTACCCGAGTGCTGCAACATCCCTGAGAGGATGCCAGGGACTCTGCAGCGTGCCCAGCCGAGGGCTTTGGCCATTCCAGGCTTTTAAAGCACAAAAGATATTTACAAACAAAACAGAAGGGTGCACTTTGGTGGACTCTTGTCACATATTTCCTCTTTTAATGAAGTGATGAGATCTTCTCTTATTAGTCTTTTTTCCCAGTGTTTCTCTCTTGCTGTCTCTCTGTCAGTAACTTCAGACAGCACATCTGTTCTCCATGTCCACAGCACAATTCCATCTACAGGTCACTGCTGATGCTGGCGGATTCTGCACATCCCTCCAAGTTCCATGTGTGTGACCTAGAAATTAATTTAAGAGTACACCCGAATAAATAAGATGCATTCGTGTACTGCACTATTACATACAAATAAATACAAAAATATTAAAAAATGACCCATTGCGATTAAAAATTATGTGGGAAAGGGTGGAGAAAAATGCATTAATTCACTGATGTTAACTTATGTTCATTTTTTAATGCACAGTCAGCCTAGGCAAGACTTCTCCCATTTGTGTGATAAATATTTTTCATCATAGAAATTCAATAAAAGAGAAAATTATAATTAATTCTGAATGCACATCTGGATCCACTTGGAAAAAAAGGACTTCTGGTGCCAAGCAACATAGATAGGTTTCTTAAAAGAAGCCATCCATTTGATTTCATTGTCACTGTGGTGGCACCATATTCCAACGTGAAGGCGAGAAAAATACAGCTCCCTTTGGGATATGGAAGGGGCAGTGAGCACACATCACGTGCTGATGTGGATGTAGAGCTCGGGGATTTATCACTAGCCATTTCCAGTGGCCCTGCACTGTTGCAGCAGAGTCACACACAGAGGTGCCACCCACCTTTCCTTCCTAGAATGAAGGGCTCCAGCATGGCTCTGCAATGTTAGAGACAATATTTCTGACAAGATATTACTAGCTTCAACGTTCAAGCTGTCAAGGCTGTTGTCAGTTCAAAGCAGGCTCTCTTTCCTCTGAAGTCATTATATAACCACCAGTTTTGTTTTCCACATTTACCAGAAGCTGCCCACATGAAAACAATTCGCTGAAGGATAGAGCAGGTAAAATACCAAGGTCTGGCTTTTATTTTTTATTTATACCTCTTCTCTTTCTTTCCTTCCCCATACATAGGTAAGGACATTTATCATTAGATGTGTGATTATATATCTCACATTTAACATCAAGTAATGTAACAAAATTGTGATTCATAACCACGCAGAAAGAAAAGAACCATAATTCAGAAGCAGAGTGAAACTAGTTGATTAAAACATTTAATCACACATCAGATTCACAAGAAATATAATAATATTTGTTTAAAAATTTCACTTAATTTGTGATCATTTGGAAATGTATTTGGCACTTTAAAAACCACATTGCAAAGTAAACCCCTGCTCAAAAATTAAACAAATCTAAGGCCCTTTAATTATGTAGTTGAGATGGTGGTGTGAATGTCTGGGCTATGCAGAGCTCTACTGCTCTTCGTTTTAAAAAGTGAGAGTTTGTAGTGAGGAGAAGGGTAAAACCACAGCTTTGCATTAAATAACAGATATCTGCCTTAGCCCTACAAGATCTCTATATATAAGGTTTCACACAAAGCCATACTAAAGCTTTGCAAGTGGAAGGGTTCAAAATCATTCCAATCAATCTGAGCCCCACAGGAAAAAAAAAAAAAAAAAAAAAAAAAAAAAAAAAAAAAGGCTAGATGAGAAGAGTTTTCAGTTCAGGCATTTGTGTTACTACCAAAAAAAAAAGAAAGATCCCTCAGTATGCTAATTTTCTTCAACCAACTGGAGCCAAATTTAACCTTTTTTGGGTCCACACAGAGTCATATTGTAAATTATCTACAAGGGACTGTAGACTAACACTCAGGGAACTCCAATCTCTGTAATAGAACAATAGAGATTTCATGTCAGGTTTTACTTGTATTATGATTCCCCAGGACAGAATATATACGCAGAATTTAATAACATAGGGCCCTGTAAGATACTACAATAAGCATGATTCATCTCAAATGAGGGGTAAGGAAACTTTTCACTGGGCTGCATGGCAGAGTCTGATAAAGCTGAAGCACATGAATTATCTTTCTAGCTAGGAAATGCAGCATACAGCACAGATGTCTTACACCAGATGTCACTGCATCATGCATGATGAATATCACATCTTCATTAGAGACTTGCCCTTATAAAATCTGTATAAATGGTATTGCAGCAAAAAGCATCACCTAACATTCAGTAAATCTGTTTCCCTATGTTCTGATTAGCAAAGCAACTTTTTTTAAACACCTAAAGGAGCTGCTACCATCCTTTTTTCTTCTCAGCTGTGCAAGCTATCATTGCTTTTTAAAATGGGATGCAAACTGAAAATAAGAAGCTGGGTGTGTCAGGGTTATTTTTATTTTGACTTAGAGAAATAATAATTTTGCATCTTCTTTTCTTTCCGTGTTCTTCTCCCTTTCACAGGAGGAAAGACATACAGTTGCATACACGAAAATGGACACACATTCTTCATTTACAAAGGGCTTAAATTAGTCCTTGAGTGTGCACAGAAATGCTCCCTGCAGCAAAGTGATGTCAGACTGTGTGTACCCCTGCAGTATATGGAAATCCTGGTTGCCATGAGAACCAGACTGCTTCTTTGCTGAGGTTTCTGCACACTGCTAGGAAGACATGCCTCCATTTTGCCACATTGAACCAGCTCAGCTGATGGATGCCTGGCGCCAGGCTGGGTGGCCCTGCCCCTCTTACCCTCTGGCCAGTGGTGCTTAATTAGCTCCAGCTCTGCCACTGAAACGAATCTGTAAAAGTGTCAGATAATCAGGTACATTTCTGAAGCAATATCCTTCCTAAATATATTTCTTTCCTTTCCTGCCTGCCACCCCAGAAAAATAAAATAAAATAAAATAAAATAAAATAAAATAAAATAAAATAAAATAAAATAAAATAAAATAAAATAAAATACTAGTTGGACTTGAGGCAGTATTCAAATGGACAATATTTTATTGTATTAGAAGAGAAATCAAAGCTACACCAACACAGTGAGATCTCAGGGGATCTCTCAGATTTATGTCTCCCAGCAGCCATTTTTCCAAATGCTGCTACATACATGTACTTCCCTCCAGAATGCAATTATGCAATTAAAGTAAATGCTGCTGTGATAACTGAAATTTTTACACACAGACTAAAGGAATAAGTTGTTTCTCTCTCTTTTTTTTTTTTTTGTGGTTTTTTTTTTGTTTTTTTTTAATGGTAGGACACAAAACTATCTTCTTCAAATACAGAAGTGCTTGAACCTGATCAGTGAAAAAGGAAAATGCTATATTCTTTTCTCTTCAAATTTGATCTCTAGAAAAATCAAGACACTGAACTATTTAAAATTCTTAAGCTGCAATGAAAGAAAGATCTTTATCACATTCTATACTTAAGAGAAGTATAATATGGCAACAAGTAAAGTAATATTCACTAGAGGAAAAGGATATAAGGGAAAAAGCTTTGCATATTCCTGTTGGCTAACACAGAACAACCAAGTGGACAACAAAAATTAAATCAAAACATAATGTCCCAGGTGCCATATATATAGCCATATAGTGATCTAAGCCACAAAATTCCATATCTAAATGTCCTGATCTCAACATTTAATTTTTCTTTTGCACTGCATTTGACCGCCACAGGAAGTCTTCTCATTTTCACAGGTGTCTAGGAACTCACATTTGCCATAGCAGCTCCATTAACCTGCAAGTATCAGCTCTCTCTTTTCTCTGAGGAATCTAAACAATTAGCAGTTGTGTTAAATTAAAAGTTGTGTTAAGCTGTGACTTAAACTTAAGTCACCTGTTTTTAACCTTTGCTTTACTTGCATATTTTGTCTTCTCTGCCAATGTAGGTTTCAGTGCCTGAAATGTTGTCCATTTTTTCTAACTGTATCATCTAGCCTAGAAAAAGGTATTTCTCACTCTTATAAACCTGGCAATTGATTACAAATACATTTTTTAGTCTTTTAATCTAACATTATGGGAGGATGAACACAAAACAGTTGTGAGCGTGATGGATTCAGGACTAATTCTTGAATTTGAATGCATGGCACAGCAAATTCTTTTCCTGTTTGCCCAGTGCTGCTCTACATAGAGCTGCACATTTCTATATTCAGCCAGTAGAGGACAGTGCTGAATATACACACCAGCAAGCCCATTACTCATATTTTATATATGAAGCAACTTCTCAGTATGAAGTGGTGTGTTTCTTGCCATCTCAAAAGCAAGTTCACATTTATTAAATTAATGCATGACAAAAAAAAATTGATTACAAAGAGTACTCATAAAAAAATGTAAATAATTATGCTTCCTGTATGTGGAGTGTACATCTCATTTATGCAGAACACTACTTGGGTCTCATTCAAAGACCTTGACTTTGTTTTTATTCAAGAAGCTTCAAAGCTTTTCCTAAACAAAAGACAGACCTACACTGCAAACCCAATTAGCATTCTGCATATATTAGGAATGCAGGACAGGACCCTCAGTGTAATTATTTCTGTTCTTTAATATAATCTAGAGTCCAAGAAGCCAGTGAAATCACAGAGAAGTTCACACAGTTTTAGCCTGCACCAGGAGCAGTTGCAGCAACCGTCCTTCGAAATCACAGATCTAATAACTTTTCAGGTTTTCAGAAAAATAATCTTTACTTGATTTATCTACCTCAATTCAGACTCTGGATGCTTTCAGTGAAAACCATCAGGATCTTTTCTGCAGGTACACCTCTAAATCCCTTGGGCTGCCTGTTCACTTAGCTAAAGATTATGGTTATTTGACATGTAGAAGACCTTCCTACTTAAAAAACAAACTAACTAACAAACAAACAAAAAAAAACCCCAAACAAACAAAAAACCCCAAACATAATTGCCTTTTCCATAAACAATGACAGAGCTATAACATTTTATTGGTGCTTACAATGTTAACTATCATGGCCTGATGATTTTTGTTTTGTTTTGCCACTTCAATGGCAAGGTAAATAGTACAAAAGTGAGTTAAAACTTTATATTTCCCAAGAGAGAGCACACAGGCAAGATATTTTGTGTTTTCTCTCATTTAAAAAATAGTAGCTTTGAGGACAATGTCATAGAAGTTATGGGCTATATCAACCAGAAGAAACACTTAAATATTTATGTAAACTTTGTTGCATGAGAGAGCACAGTTCACCAATTTCTATCATGTCACATTTTCAAAGTGACATTCCGCAAAGCCCTGAAGAGACTAGCATGTAACAAAAAGTATCTCCCAGGGTCCAGTTTCATGACATTCACCTGCAGCAATACAAAACATCTATTAATGGAATATGTAAAGAGTGCTTGTTTACAGGGAGGGGCGATCAGGAGAGAATTTATAAAAATGTTGCTATTAAGAGACAAGACTTCACTCCTAGGAGTATTTATTCAACCAATCTGTTCAAGTCTTCTCCATGTAAATATTTGGCCTATATTGTGATCTTTTAGGGCATTGAAAGATATTTATACTCAATTAAGATATTGCACATTAATATTGCAATATTAATTGTGATTAATATTTTCTTTTAAGGAAATTTAATACCAGGTACAAAAATAAATTACTCCCTGATTTAGTACATATTTGAGTTCTGAGTTTTGCTTTAGATTACTCTTTAATGCTCTCAAAATGTGGGGCAGTAAGAGTTATAGTAACAGCTATAATTGCAGGAATAGGGTTCTGAGAGCAAGCATATATCAAAGTCTAGGCATTACAGTGACTTCAGAACTTCTCAGGTCCCAGGGGCCATGGAATTATGTCAGAATCTAAAATTGCCTTTTAAAAATACAAGCATCTCTAGACTTTGCCACTGAAAAGGTAGAGTGCAGCCAACTCACTGGCACTAAGTGAGCTGCAGACAGTCGGAATCAATCAGTCTTGGCGTGGTGACCTACCACCAGCACCTCCCATCTAAGTCTGGTTGCTCCAGACACTCCTGTCAGCTGCAGGCTCTGAACGGCTGGGTGGACTTCTCTAAGAAAAGAACAGAGCATCTTGCCATGTTAATTTGGTCCCAGTGGAGTTCAGCCATAACAATGACTTTAAAAGGTCCATATGAGCTCCACATTTATTTGTATTAGGGCAGATGCAAGTCATTGCATGATTGACAATATCTTGTTTTGTTCATCTAAATCAGAAGGAAATAATGTAATATTTGAAATCTGGTTTTTATGCCTACATTTTTTCCTCATCTAGCAATACTTGACAGGCAGTAGTCACTAGATAATATATGCTGTGCAAAAGTTTTGCTTATAGCTGCATAAACTATCCATTTATGTCTATAAACAGCAGTGTAAACTGTCTATAAACTAAGCATTTATGTTTTTGGATTATTGATATAAAAAGGAAAAACTCTGGCATTGAAGCATAAGTCAAGGAATGAATACACTAGTTTTTCCCTACTTTGAATTATACAATCGTATTGCTTCTCCATACAGCAAACTACCAAATGCTGTGAATATTGTCTATACATCAACTCACAACAACAGAAAAACAAAAAAAGCCTAAAGCTCATCTCTGTTTTTTCAGTTGACTGACCTGTGAAAGAACGTTGGGGGGATGTGGAGGGGTGTGGAATTAATGCTTTAGATTTTACTCCCTTTCTTCTTTTTGCTCTGCAAAGACCCAGGGTAATTGTTTCCTGGAGTGAAAAGAAAAGATTTAGTATCTTTATACAATGAAAAAAAATTCAGTGAGGCTGTTTGTGAGAAGCAGGAGGAGAGAAGGGGACTGCCTAAATGTGAAGAAAGAGACACTTGCTCTGCCATCTGTTCCCGTGTGCTGTCACCAGGCTGCTCTGCAGCAGAAGAGGCAGCTGCTCCCTTTTCTAAGAGCTAGCATGAGATATTGGAAAGAACACCCACCTCCCAACTCCGGCCATGCCTACAAAGGATCACAGCAAGCAAGTTTATGGTACCCATATATTTGTGATGCAGGCTCTAGTACAATTCCTCTGACAGTGCTCTGCTGCCTCACATAACATTAGCAAGCTTCATTTTCCTCTCAGGAACAAATGCAAGTGGATTAGCAGTAAGGAACTCGGCTCATGGGTCTGCTTCACATACATTACCCTTGGCTGTGTTTTATGTCAATGATTTTTCAACAACCTGGCCCTAAGTTCAGGAACAAAGATTACTTGAAGGGGCTGCATGAAGGAAGGACATGAACAAAAGCCCCATTTGTTCGCAGGGAAAATAAGTAACAATCTGGCTGTTAAATAAAAGGAAGCAAGACCAATGAGGGAAACAAAACTTAGGATACCAGCAGCTAGAGCATGAACTGGCACTAAGGTTTGCTTCTGCCATCCGCAAAGTGCATTTCCTCAGCCTATGAACTGGATCTTTGCTTTGCCAACATCTCAATGTCAAAGTGTAAACACACTTTTTGGGGTTTTTTTTGTTTTTTTAGAGCATTTAAAGAAAGTTATTTTAATGCTATTAATTTAGGTGTCTTTGTCATTTTCTACCAGCTTTTTTCCCTTTGTTTTTAGTAGCTCAGATTAAGTCTCATCCAGGACTAACCGAGATTTACAAGAATCACAAGACCTTAGTGTCCTGCAACTGGGGCATTTCTGTCCTTCCTTATTTTGCTCTTGGAAATAATTATATTTTGTTTATCTTTGAAGACTGGATGTAAATTACACTTGTTAAATAAGGGAGACTCCTTCTGCAGAACAGGTGAGTTTGCCCAGAAAAAAGATAGCATCAGGAACAATGTGATTCAGTAGTCAGGAATATATTGCTTATTGTCAGGAAACTTGGGTTGTGTTTATGAGGCAGGGTTTTGGAAACCAGGCCAGGACAGGGCAGGACTTCAGGGGTGACTTCTGTGAGGAGACACTAGAAGCTGTGCCCTGTGCCAGACAGAGAAACTGACTGTAAAGCACTTCTTAAATAATTATACCTGGAATATACATCCTCCTCTATCACTTCGTATCTTCGTCTGGTAGGAGTTTTCTCTGCAATGGAAATCCTAGAATAAATGCTTCTATCAAAATATTCAAGACTGAAAACAAGTGCTTTCACATGAAGCTCAGAAACCCTTTCTCCCTACTTAAGAAGTTCACTGTATCTTTAGCATCAAAGCCTTCCTCTGTCATCGAGCAAAACACATAGGCATATGATTAAAGACACATACAACCACATGTGAGTGTTTGGAGAGGCTTAATCTCACAAAAAATGAATAAAGAATTAATTTATTCCATTCACTTATATCAGGATGCTGTCCTGAAGTTTTCTGTTCATGGGAACCATGAAAGCATTTTCCTTTTTCTAAGACAAAATTGGACAGATTTTATTTCCATAATTCTGATTGAAGAAGGCAATAATATCTGTATCTCTGTTTGCTTTTGCATAGGTTGTAGTAAGAAAGGTATATACAGAAAAATATTCTTCCCATGTGAATATTCGATTCTGGATGATGATGTCTGAATCAGGGAGTTCTGTGCAAATGAAGAGACGAATAATTTATATTAATGAACACACCTTTGACAACAGTAAATGGTAACTTTTTCCAATTTTCAGTCCACAAGAAAGCATGCTCAGGGATGAAAAGTCCCACCTTCTAATGCAAAGCTTACAAATATATGCAGACAGAGATAATCTGTCAACTTTCAGAATAGCCCAGTCTGGTTTTGTCACATTTGAAACCTGAATTTGTCTCCTTGTTATTTCAACTCAATAGGAATTTATTTAAAAACTGTTTCTGGAAAGGTGCTTATCCAAAAGACTGAACTAACTTATATAATTGCATATAAAAACATGCATATGTGTATTTGTGCATTATTTCTCTTTACAAATCTTATCTCTCTACAAGTGTCAAATCATTAGCCTACAACACTGAACCACATGTCCTTATCTGGAGTGGGTGGCTTTGGTTTTGTGCATGTTAAAACCTGGTTTGAATGGTTACTCTTTTTCCAGAAGTGCCTTAACTTCTGTAGGCAGTTGCTTAGTACTGCTGTGGTTTCTAGTCTGTGATGCACACTGGCAATAACATTTGAACTGATCTCTTGAGTGCTTGTCTCAGCAATATGCATTAACTTGCACATACAAATAAGGTTTCTTTTTAGAAATTTGTCTATTTTACACCCTCATTTCTGTCAAGGTGAAAGCATGAGGCAAATTGAACACTTTGGTGCAGAATCAGTGATAATCTGAAATTATTTATATGTATGAAGACCCAGAACAATGCAGAAATGTAATGAGATGTTCAGTCAAAGAATTATTATTTTTTTAAATTAATCACTAAGCTTTTTCTTTCCATAATGTGGGATTTCAAGTAGAATATAAGTAACTTAAAACATCATTTTGTGATTATTGTATATGAATTGCTTAAATGTATCTCAGGAAAATATCAATTGTACTTGTCCTCAAGCCATAGAAGTTTTCAGATATTCCTATTTTCATCAGCAGTATGGTATGTCTCCTTTGCATCTGATTTACACTCCTCTACAGAATAGTTTAAGAGCTGTAGCCAACCCCCGTCCCAAATTTTGGTCTTTTGTACAAAGGTCACTACTTTACCCAAACTATTACATCCGTGACAATTTTTCCATATGGTCCATACCTGAAAAGTTATATTCTCTCACATTTCTCTCCATAACTCTGTTAATGTGCTACAGCAGACAACCAGGAATGCTCTTTTTCATTTTTAGTTCCCTGGTGCCATGGATGCTTTATTCCTGCTGAAAACCATTAATACTGTTGTATACTTCTTTAATGTAACTTTTGCTTCTCACCTGTATTATTCCCTCTGCACTTGCATATAACTCATGTCTGCTTTATCTTACATTTTTTTTATTCTGCTTCTCTCCTGCCTCCAAATGCTCATCCTTCCATTTCCCGTTTAACTGTTTCAGAAACCATCATCTTACTTTTCCCTGAGCATCTTTTGCTATCTGAATATCTAGTCATAGGCAATCTACCCTTTCCCCCATGAAAGTTTCCCTTTCATTCCTCATTCTTTTAGGAAGGAAGTGTGCTTTGTTTTCTACAAAGGGTGGAGCATGGCTTTTCAAAACAGGTATTCAGGCTCTTCTGATGAAGCTTAACAAGAACAAAAGGTCAAATTCAGCTGCAATGGATAAGATGTCAACTCAAATAGAAGAATTTGTTCACAAATACTTTCAAGAAAAGAAACAAAAGGAAATGTAAAGAAAAACACTTCTATGTAACTAACTTGCCTTTTTCCACTTTTTCTCGCAAGGACAAATATGAAAGATAAAGTGGAAAAATAAAGACTATGGCATAATGTTGTAGGCAGTGAGGATGACACTTTTAAAAGATGATGTTCATGGGGTTTTCTTAAGTCTGCATTAAAACGAAATTTAGATAAGAAAAAGAGAAGTAATTGCTAAGCAAAGTGTTTACCTCTTCCAAGCACGTACAAGTAAAAAAAGTCTCCATAACATTAAAGGAGAAATTTCTGTCCCATTCAGAACCATTACTTTTTTTCAGTTTTGTCTTTCCACTGGTAAAATTCATGCAAGAAATTCAGTTTTCTGAGGGATCATGAGATATTGCTTCAGCTACATGGTATTTCCAGTGCTGCTTTACAGCCTGTGAGGACCATTACTTTGACAATTTAAGAATGTTTATATTTGTTATCTGCAAGCCAAGATAAAAAAAAGAGACTCTATTTTGTAGCTGTAGTCATATTTTGCCTAGCCCAGAACAAACATAATGAAAATAGTTTAAACTATTTGAAATAGTTGAATAGTTGAATCATTCAAACTCATTTGAAAAAGACAAATAGATTATGAATTATTTTAGATTCTTTGTTAGCAGCTGCAGGGAGCAGCTGTTACCTATAGAGGTAACAGAAGCATGAGGAGGTGAAAAAAAATCTCTTCTTGCATAAGTCCTTGCTTTTAAACTCTACTTAAGAGTTTGGGGTTTTTTTTCAGTGCAAACTGGTAGAGCATGTGCATTTATTTGATTTTTGAGTTTATCATCAATACAAGAGAGCTTGTATTGTCTCATACAACTACTGAAGGAAAGAAATTAAGGTAGAATGAGAGAAAGCAACTTCTTTTATCTAGTTTTCCCACATTTCTGAAAAATGAAACATTGAAGACTGAACACAATCCAGCCTTTGCAAATCAATGTCCTCTTTAATTTAAAATACCATGTTTCTTTTTCATTGATAGATTAAGGCATAACTGTACTGTATATTCCTGGATCATAAGAAGAATCTGAGGAAAGAAAAACCAAATCTTTAGAAAGCAATGGCATGGATTCAAATCCTTTCCTACCTGAATAAAACCCAAAGTAGGATAATGCACAGTTTTGTTGCTTAAGTTTCTGTATAGCTCTCTTTTATACTACTATAAACTGTAGATTAACTATGTAGTACTTTGAGAGAATTCCTGATTGTTAAACTACTTCACTTTATCAAATATAAATAAAGAAAACGTTGTTTAATTTTATTTCTTTCTCCTAGTTAAAGGGACTAAATCTTGAAATCAAGTTTTCACTTCAAATTTCACCTTACAATATGTATGCTGAACCTGTAATATCTGCCAGCTGAGATTCTAAGATATGCCACATAACATCTGGAATGTTAAATAAGTATTTCCACAGTATCAGGAACATATTTTAATAATTATTTTGATCGGGAGTCCAGTGAAGTCTGATGTTAATTGCAGTGATCTACTTGCCAGTTGTTTAGAGAGCAGGTCCTAAGAGAATATGTAGTAAATAAATTAATTAATCTTATATTAAATACATATTAATCTCACAATCCTTTCCCTCCACCAACTGTGGCATGCTATTTCACAGTTAGTCAAGTCAAAACTGGTCAACAGAAAATAAAAATAGCTTTTGTAAGGGTTATAAATAATTGGATCACTCCATCACCTGTAATAAAGATTTTTTTTTTTTTTTTTGGCCCTGTACAGGTCAGTATTACATCTGCTGCTTATCAGAAAGGTGAGGCAGGAATTTCCTCTATCTTTCCAAATAAAGAAATTACAGATTTTACATCTAAGAAGACTATTCTTTTATCAGAACATAAACAGCTCAAGGTAAAGGAGTGCAAATGGAAAACAAAATGCCATTCATTTCTTGGCACTGCCATGTAATTGATGAAAAATTTCCATTTTTCTTGCTGTCACTTATAAAACTCTTCCTGTAAATTTTACACCTGTAAAAATTCTTTTTGAGTTTCATATTTGGAATTCCATAATAAACACAGAGTTAGAATCTTTTTTGACAGGTTCCACTTGCAAGTGGTGATTCCAAATGGTTTTGGAGCCTGTAAAATATTGGAGCCTGTGCACATTTGTAGCTGCAACTAGCTTTGTTTGCTGTTTATGAATATACATTGAAGACTAAGAACAAGAAGGCTCCAAACATCCTCTTAAAAATATCAGGCAGCTTTGTAGCACCTCCATCCTTATAGTCTGATTCTCTTAAAAAAAAAAAAAAAAATTCCCGACACAACCAGCATAATGACTGAAGTTTGCAGCATACCTTTAAGTCAGTAGGTAATTCAATGGGATAATTCACCTTCAAAATCAGAAATTCCATCTCAATTGCCTCTGCTATAATTATATATCTAGAAGTGCTGCACAGACAGAATAGAGCAAACAAAATCAAAGAACAAATCAGCACAGATCTCAAGGACTAGTGACAAGGGCGACAACAGACAGATGCTGCAGAGGAATGCCTGATGCACCTTGCAACAATATAATAATATTAAGAAGATTTATTGTGGGCTGCACACAAAACATGACAATAAGCAATGTAATTTCATCTTACATATGTTCTTGTCCTGTATGTCCCAACTCCTTCTGCTCATGTAAGCAATGGCAGGATAGGGGTTCAGGCAAAACATTTGATTATGAATACACATAGATGTAATGCAGCTCTGCAATGTTGATTTGTTTGCCCTGTTCCTGGTATGATTTAGGATCACCACCACCAGCATTATCTCAGATTTCCAATATGGTTTTGAGGACAACACAGGCCAGAGACTGTAATACCATTTCTAGTCAGTTTTATGTAAAATGAGACTGGTTTTATTCTAAGCACACAAACAAGAGGGTTTTGTTACAAGTGCAGTACTTGGCGTGGCTTTCCCCCATCTCAGTTATGATTTTCTCAGGATATGTTCAGCTAGGCAATCTTTGACCTTTATTTCTACCCACTTGTATGTAATGTATGTATGA